GTAGAACCTTTTGAAGGACTTTTAGTCAACCCAGTGGATGTATAAAGTATAAGCAGAATACTTAAAACTATTACAACCTAATTTTATATTCACTGAGATAAATTGTCCGGGTTTTTTTTCTAATTCACTTTTCATAGCTCTTACTACTAAAGAACTACTGAGATCACTCCAGCTTCATATTCACAACAGGTGATTTGCATTGTCAAAGTTCCCATGGAGTAGCTTCAGACTTCTCCAGTAATGAATGTCTTCACAAAGGTACAGAAAGGAACAGAAGTCTGATGAACTCTCATAATTCAGGGGTTGGGGCAAGGAAGAGCACTTAATGTTCCCTTCCTGGACCTGCTCTTCAGTTATACATACACTCAGAGGAACAGAATTATCAGCTCCTAATTGTCTCTGTCTTACTCTGCAAACTAAAACTCATAAATTTGGCCTTCTAAACAAGGGCTAATAGGAAAAAGGAAAAATCATTGTCTACATGAAGATCTGCAAGTATCAGATATTTTCCTTTCAAACATTTTCAGAGAAAAGAAGACATTTGGAAAGATAAAAGTTTACAGTGAGACAATATAGAACAGGGGCTCAACACAGCATCATGTGGCTCATGAATAAAAGCAACCCCATGTTTGAACCCAAACTGTGAGCAGTAGTGCTAACCTTTTAAAATATTTGCCTTCTAAACAGAACACTGGCAGTTTACATGTTAACAGGAATTGTGACCCTCCTTTTGTAGTGTATGAATATTGCAGTATTTTGACTCAGAGCAGATAAAAATAAGCATCAGGTAAATCAGTAGGTTCTATGGTAAAGTAAATGTTAATAAGTTAACATTTCAGAACTATATTCAAATATTTGCTTCAACACTAAACTACATGCCATAGAGTTTTATCAGAAGCCATGAATATGAGAATATTACCTTGACAGAGAGGAGCCTAACGCCAGGTCTTGAAAATTTCCATTGATGTTTTGCAGTCACATTGGTAAAGCCAAAACCAGTCTTCAGGGTCTTCACTACTTTGCAAGCTGTCAAAATCCTCGTCATTTTGAAGATGTTGATTTGTGACTAAAATTAAATGAAATTACATATATTTTATGATTAATGCGAAAGAAAGCTGGGGAGAGGGGAGTACAGTCAGGTGCTGAGGGCTGACTGCACAGGGATCTTTGAATTTCCATTCATTCTGTTATTAAATGTCTTCAGCCACAGCTCCTCCTTCTCTTAACCCCTCCTCCCAAGGTAATGCCCGGAGATGTTCTATGGACATGTAATACGAATTGCAAAACATCAAACACTACCTTCTCCTGCTGAAATAATGCTAGTGTTGTAGAAAACCAGTCACCCATCAAAGGAATTGCTTATGCAGCTGAATAGAATGACCTAGACAACCTTAGGCATCTCACCCTAAAGAGTAGCAACTTTCTAATAATGCCAAGGATCAAAGGCTTTTTACTTGTATTAGATGTGATGCCTAATTTCTCTCAAAAAATGTTGGATTTCTAAAGAAACCTGAAGACTTGCCATTTTCTGCTTGGAAAAAGACAGTGAAATCACATAAAGCCAAGAAGGATGTCAGAATAGACTTTTCTCCACAAATAGAGAGTAAAATATATTGTTTTCGCTTCATTTTGATCTTTTGGGTTAATAAAGTTCTGTGCTCCAAATTTTAAAGCAATGGGTAATAGTAAGTAAAACACTGCAGCAAAGCAGCCTCTTTAAATCCCTCTCTAGTATCAGATATGTAAGTGTAGGAAACAATGGCAAACACTGATTTTAATTTAAAAAAAGGATTTTTAATTATTAAAATGTTACATATAAATTTCTCAAAACTTGAACATTCATGCTTCAACTGAGTTTTGAAATTCATAATTTAGCCCTTCAATCCCATGGTTGATCCAGCAGGCAAAGGTTCTCATTGGCTGGGGGGAAGCTCTCACTTGTCATGTGTCTATGTAAATCAGGAAACACTGCAGCATTCTCCTTTGATACCCCTTGCAAAGGAGGCCAAGAAATAAAGGCTCCCTCTAGGGCCTCCCAACACGAACATAAAATGATATAGAGATTATAACTTTTACTGACATAGGATGAGTGCCAGAACTAGGGGGTAGAGGAGGAGGAGGGTTTTTTTAAAAAAAGAACTAAGTTGAAGTTCAATCATCTGTCTTACTTGTTGCATTCATGAATAAACACCCTCTGAATCCAAAGCACTTTCTATCACAGCTCCTGGTGATAGAAAACTAAAAACAGTCTAATCTAGTGTACATAAGTAATGAGTAAAATAGGTAATGTGATGGTAGGGTGTCCAGATACAATGAAAAAAATAAATAAATAAACTCCCTTGTTCATGTGCCGTAAAATTTAAGTGTGGGGTTGTGTTGAATCATGCTGTCCTGAAGAATGCGAAAGAGTATACCAAGTAGACAGAGGGAAGAATAACAGAAGAGATGGCATGAGCAGCAGCATACACACATGAAATCCTATGGCATATATTTTAAAAAAGCTCTGGAACAGTCCAATAAAGCCTAAATGCATGGTATGGGGTGAGGAAGTGAGTAGAAATCACAACATGGAAGACTTTGCATGCTTTGAAATGGTTGCCCTTAAACCATAAATAGTGAGTGTGGTACTTAGAGAAGGGCTTTGAACAAAGGTGAAATTTATTTATATGAAAGAGAGATGATAAAAAAAAGAATTGGAGGAACTGTCAGAAAGAAAACTCACAACTTAGACAATTAAAGACTTAGAAACAGTATTTACTGGCTCAGTGCAATTCTAGGTTAAGCCTTGGTCTCATCATATATAAATATATATATATAGAGAGAGAGAGAGAGAGAGATGTGCCTTTCCCAAATTAGAAAAATATTTCCTCCTTTTATTGTCTGAGCTTTTATTAAATATGACAGTTGGGAACAGACTGAAATCTACAACCAAACTGGAAAACAAATGCTTATATTAGTGAGGAAGTATGCATTAGGATAGACCAAAAGGATGAGATGATAGGAGTTAATTAGTAGTGACATTTAAGTCTGACATGAAAAATCTAGTGAAAATATTTCACTTTGTTTAAAGACACTTTTTCAAAGCATTCTTTAAAAAGTGTTTTTAATTTGAATTGGTTTTATTCCCTCTGGTTGTATTTACATGGTCCTCTCCTCACAATCAGGCAGGGTGATGCCTGTACACCCACACACACACACACAGGGGCTGAGGAAATCCGGGCATTCGAAATGCATTTTGTAAGAGCCAGGCCATTAAAGGTTCTCTAATCTTATAAATCTCTCACTCAAAAAAGCAAAATAGTACATATAAATTAGGCCCTTTTTTCTATTAACATTTATCATAGTTGCAGGATTGCAACTTTTCTCTACACAATCCCATGTAGAAAACTAAAACTAAATTAAAGCTAAACATCATTTTTCTCAATTTTGATGGAGCAAATAGTATACTGGTAGTTTTTTAATTTAATGCTAAAAAATATTCTATTTCTTTCATAAATTGGAAAATTCCTTGAATATATATAGAGATAAATACATGTAGTATTTATGTGTATATCATTGAAAGATTATACATATATATGTATATGTATACATATATAGAGGAGGGGCAGAGAGAGAATTATCCTTTACTAACTTCATAATTTATCATTTCTTTAGAGGATTGAAAGCATTCAGCCTTTCAAAGCCCTAAGAGCAATTAATTTGATTACTTTATTATTGTGATATCTAGTATTCAAAATGGTACTATATCAAGTACAAAGTAGTGTTAATTTTCATTTGATATTAAAGAAATTTGGAAAATACATAAAAATAGATAATAGCCCACCCTTCAAACATAACCTTTGCTATTAAGTTAGTATATTTTTCTTTAGCATTTATTTGTATGCATGGGTCATACTTTTGAAAAGTGTGATTAACTTTCATTGTCCTTTCTTAAAATACTATTATAAGTATGTTCAATGTTATTACATGTTCTTTTGTTTTTTAAATATATTTTTATTTATTTCAGAGAGAAAGGGAGAGGGAGATGAGACAGAACCATTCTTTGGCTGTCTCCTGCGTGCCCCACACTTGGGATGGAGCCTACAACCTGGGCATGTCCCCTGACTGGGAATCAAACTGTGACCTCATAGATCAATGCTCAACCACAGAGCCATGCTGGCCTGGCATTACATGTTCTTTTAAAACTTTAATTGAAATGGCTGCAACATATTTCAATTTCATTGTTTCTATTGTTGTACGATGCATATCAATATTTGATAAATATTACCAAATTTCTTTCCCAAAAAAGTGGGCTTGTGTAGATATCAATCATAATATATGAGTGTCTGATACATTCTCACCATTAGGTATTATCTTTTATTTGCTTCTTTGAACACACACACACAAAAAAAAACACAATAATTTGTTTTCATTTAAATTTTAAATTATTATTGAAGTCACATACTTTCATAAGCTTTTAATATGCTATTTCTTCCTTTTTTTTCCATAATATTGTTCCCATTAATCTATTTATGTTAATAATCCTCTAAAAAGGAAACATAAAGCAACCTGCTTGACAGCCTGTATTTGTTCCTCTTCATTTGGACAATCCTTTGACATAAGCAAAAAGAGGCCTGCTACCAATTGGGAAAAAATTGCTCATCCTGGAAAATAAAAGCCTCATGTTTTGGAATAAAGTGAAAATAACGGTGTTAGCTACTCCTTCTTGAAAGGTACAGAAACTGCCAACTTGCCCTCTTGAAGTGTGTCTTGCGAGGTGACAAATCAGAGACAATTCTTAGTGATGCATCTATCAAAAAGTCTTCAATACAGCAAACGTGCAAGAGATGCTTCTGATGGAAGGGGTGGATGAATTCCTCTGTATGGACTTCCCGCCTGATCAATGATGTTTATTTCAGTGAAGGAAATAAAACTATCCCGGGTGAATGTAAGATGGAATAAAAATACTTAGGAATAGGAAAAGAGAAGAGTCAATTAATAATTCTATGAAAGACTATTTTAAAGCGGTGCCCCCACACACATTACCACAAATTATGCAGTCAGGTTCCCCACATTTGGGGAAGGGGCAGGGGTCAGTACATTGGAGTGCAATGAATAAGTCTCATCCTGAGAAAACCATCTTTGTTATCACTTTGTCTACCCTGCCAGCTAAATATTAAAGACGGAAATTTAAAGCAAGAAGCAAGGCATATCTGGAAAGCAAATAAATTCTGAGTAAAAGAAGGTGAAACAACCCTTCAAAAAAAGAAAGCTATTTTTGTGTTTGAGCATAGATGCATGAAAATGGAATATAAAAGGTAGAAGTGATTATTGTGGTTAATTCTGAGTTGTGTTAGCTTAATATAACAAGGAGCACTGTCTTAAATGAGATATGGACCCCCCAAAAAAAGGCTACTCTTTAAGGGAAAGGGATGTAGATTTGTATGCACATAAAAAGCATATACTTTCTCCCATCACAAAAACTAGGAGAATCTGGTGAAAATTTCCTTATATAAAATTTGATCAAGGAGAAGATTCATCAATAATGATAATAGACAGATAGCAAGCTGTTAGATGATGTGGTTTTAAAATAATCTGAAGTCTTTGGAAATCCAATCAAGTGAGACATATTCATTAAGATCCAACTCATATTTTGAGGGGTAGAAATTGAGGAACCAATTTTCATGAATGTGCTTGTCAATCTAACATTTGATGACGTACAGAGTGGTTGAAGTGAAACAAAGGTAGTTGAAAAATAAAACTGAAAAGAGACCTAGTAAAAATGGTTTCAAACATAAAAATCCAAGGCACATGTAATTTATATCTAGGAAAATAAAAAAAGCTATAACATATAAGATTGCCACTTGAAAACCTTAAAGAAAGACGTGTGTTTATAAAGAATAAATCTTGTACTAATTTATTCCTTAATAAATAGACATTTACTAAACTAAGTGGAAATGTTAGATGCAATTGACCTTTATTCAAGAGCATTGAATTTATTTCCTAGATCATGACTAGGTGCATACATCTTTGCTAAAGAATATATAAATGCAAGAGGACCTAGTAGCCGGAGAGTAAAACAAGCTTGTTGGCTAGGATGAGATCAGAGTGGACAGTGCCTTAAAGAGTTGGTTCAGAATTCAGTGACCTTGGCAAACTGAAGTCCTAGTCAAACACAAAGTGCAAGCAAAGTGAGGTCAAGTGGAAGTTAGCCCAAAAAGGACAAAAAAACAAGCTTCAAATGCAAGTTGTGGAGGACTATATGGAAATAGGCCAAAACCCATAGGCAGTAGTCATACAGTGTAGCAAGCTGCCCAAAGTTACTCAGAGTAAGTTATAGTCATTGTAGCCATACATAAAAAAAAATTAAGAATGAAAATTAAGAAAAGAAACACAAACTTTACTAGAATTTGAAACATTAGATAACTTAAAATACTAAAAAGGAAATTTTGACCCTGAGATGACTAAAATTTAAAATCAATCTTCCTGAAAGGATTGGGAAAAAGAGGAAATCTTTGTGTAATAACTAAGAAAAACCCTACAATAGAAGCTAAAAGTTTTTAAATTTATAAACCATAACATGTTAACATATATCTATGTGGAGAAATAAATACATCACTTGCTATTATGCCAGTTAGTGCAAATAGGCATTTAAATAAATAAATGTTAATGGCTCCAATGATGATAAATACGATTCCTCCTAAGAGCTGGGGTGTTTGACATATGTTGCTCACCCACAGAGTGCCACCTACTGATTTATGCACTTGGCATGACTTATCTGCTAATCTTAAAAGGAATCCCTCAACTGAATCTAACTAATACTATCCCTATTGCACAGATAACGATGGTAAATTCCAGACCCAGATCACACAACTAATAATTTACAAAGTCAAGATCAGAGCTCAACTCTTAGCCAACATCTATGTTCTTTCCAGCATGTCAAAGGCTGGTTAAGATCACATTTGATAGGAAGAACATGTGACTCTAGAGGTAGTAATACTAAAAAAATATTATATCATCTGGCAATAAGAAAAATTTAACCAGTAAAATCAAATAATGAGAAGAAGGAATCCATAACTTCTCTGATTTATTATGTTTAAATTCAGATAACATAAGAAATGAAGAATAACATAGAATAAAGCTATAAATTATTTTTACTAATCTACCTGGTAGAGCTGATTGGCCTGGGAGCCATACTTCCAGCTGGCTAACTGACAGCTGGATTTACTCCAAATAACAAAAGATATTCTATATTTTTCTATCTTATATAATATGGCTTATAGCTACTTATTCTGGAATCTGAATAATTAAATGCCATGGAATGGTCATGGCTGGTCATATATAAAATCTATAATTACTAAAAATAACAATAATAATAACCATTTAAGGAAGTATTCATTTTGAGTACTTTCTATGTGTCAGTCTATGTAAATCAGGAAACAGAATTGTTTTGTGCTGAAAAGATGCTTCATAGAAAATTGGGAAACTTTTAATTTTTCTACTTAAATTCTCATCAGACAAACAAAGAATATAAAAAAATATAGATAGCTGAAAGGAACCTTTAAAACGATCTTTTCTAATTCCTTTGTTTTCTAGATATAAAAAACATCTAAATGAGGCAAAGTGATCTCATTGTTCTTGAATAATTTAATAATAGATCTAGAGCCTTTAGTAGAAACAGCTATAGGAATGTAAGCTCTGAATAATTAAATTTCAAATAAAAATACATTTTAAATGATGGAACAATTGGCGAAAGAACTACCAATTACATAAATCTTACTCTCCACTTAGTGTTGACCTAAAAATCTTCTTAAACTTTGGCTTACCATACCCACAACATAAGCTTCATAAATGAACTGACTAAGTCATTAGGCCCTTGTCACTCGAAGTAGTAAAATACTTCTAAGGAAAAGCTTTCGGAATTTAATTCATCAGCCTTTTGCCCAATGATCATCACTGCAACAAAACCACCTTCTGATGTGCTCAACAGAACAGGCAGCTCTGAAGGGCTTGTTTTTTTAACTTTTGCAAAGAGATAACACAGATGATTTTGCAAGACTCTAAAGAGCAACTCTGGCCACGAGGAGGGTTTATCTATTATAATCAGGTCATGTGGTAGAAGAATATTGGACCCTCATTAAATTAAACATATTTGATGATCACAGAGAAGCAACTTGTGCAATATGTTTTAAAGTTACCGACTCCATGAAGTCAGGGACAGCAGATTACATTCGAATGACGTAGACTTTTTTTTTTTTTTTAATTAAAAACAAGTCACCCACGCACATTCCTACCCCACCCCTTTTTATATCACATTTGTTATATTACATTTGATTTCTTCTGTGGTCTCCTCTTTTCAGAGGAACGTGGTCCAGGAGGCTGTATTCAGTCCTCCTCGCAATTAGACCACTACCCTCACAAAGTGTTAGGTTTCATCCTTACGAAAACATTAGTACAAGTTTCTATGAATGAACCATATTGCTCTTTCTTTGTCCAGATTTGGGGGGTTCTGAGTTGAGTTACTGAAAGGCAGGGTGCCTTTTTAAATTTTACTGAGTTTAAATTTTGAAACAAAATGCTCTAGAGAGAAAAAAAAGGAGACCAAGGTAGGGAGAAAGAAAAAGAGGGGGGGGAGGGAACACAAAAAATAAAACATCCTGGTTTTTGAATTTTACAAACTTGTAACAAACAGTCAAAAATGCCAACTTGGATTTCAACTCCTGACACTCTCTTGGTGTCAAAGAATTCCATGTTTTATTCTGGTATTGTTTATTTCATGACACTTATTTTTAGCCTATTCTTGACCTCATCAAGATCATCCTCAGCTCATAAGAGGAGGAAAATATGTAATATGCTTTGCTAATTCAACTTGGACTAGGGAGTTGATTATTTTCAGAGAATATTTTTGAAAACTCTGTGAACTGAAAAAGCAAAGAATTAAATACTAGAAAGTTGAGAACTGTGTTAAGTTTTTGAAAATTTGCTTTTAAAAGTTAACCAACTGGGATTAAAGTTAAGGTTAAACAGTAATAATAAAGCTCTTATAAAAAAGAATGAGCAGACATATTATAAAAATTAATACAAATGAAATAAATAAAGTTGTGTAATGGGAGAATTATTAGCACAATGTTACTCAGAATGGTGCACCAATATGAAACTTGGAAAATGGAAAACTTATCAGGTTAGAATAATAGTTGTACTAAAAATGGTGACCACATTCTTCAAGTTATTAAAGACCATGACTTAAAATGTCATGCATGTCATTTTTCTATCATTACTTAACAAGATTAATTAGTATTTAATTAATTAATCGATAGTTCTCTATTATAACAATACAAAGAAAGCTACAGGGTTTTCAGGGACACTGGTTAGTTATAAAATATTGCTTCTTTCAATCCAAACCAAGGATTTTTCTTAAAAATATATCCACTTCTCTATATTCACAAATAATTAAAATTGTATGACCTCTAGATAAATTATGTGATAAACCTTTAAATAAAACACAGGTCTTTTATTAAGAACATTTTTTCTTATTTTTCTATTTATATAAGTTCTGAAGACTTAAAACCTAATGAAAGTTACTAAAACCTTCAACTAAGGCCTTTCAGGCGTATAGTTTAATTTCTCCATTCACATGCAAATAAGAGGTAATTAATGATCATCTGTGAAAAGTATACAAAAAGAACTGCTAGCTGAAACCGGTTTGGCTAGGGGACTGAAACTTCGGCTTGGGGACTGAAAGGTCCTGGGTTCGATTCCCGTCAAGGGCATGTACCTTGGTTGCGGGCATATCCCCAGTAGGGGGTGTGCAAGAGGCAGCTGATCAATGACTCTCTCTCATCGATGTTTCTAACTCTCTATCCCTCTCCCTTCTTCTCTGTAAAATATCAATAAAATATATTTTAAAATAAAAAAAAGAGCTGCTAGCCACTAGACCATATAGCTCTCATTTTACTTTTATTTTTAATACATGGGGTAAGAAAACTAAGAAATTTCATTATTATGAAGGTATAACAATACTTATCTTGATAATACTGAAAAATAAATTGAAATATCTGAGAAAACAGAACTCAATTCTGAGAATAAAAATTTTTAATAACTTCAAATTAAATTTCCTGCATCGTATGCACTTTTTTAATATTGTTTTATTGTTTTTTTACAGAGAGGAAGGGAGATA